TTCCAGTCACAACCAATAATGCCGTGTGTCTGACCAAAACACAGCAGTTCCTAACATTCTGGGTGCTAGCTGATCAGTGTAGACACAAGAGAAACATGACACTGTTATCATCGAAATATATGGGGTGCATGCAGGCAGAGTTTTTAGCATGTGGTTGCATGTGGTTGTACTATATGCAAATTAAGTTTTGCCAAGTGATAATGCAATTGATCATGCAGGGTTTGGAACACAGGCTATATTAAGTAGTTTTGAATTAATTAACTAAATAATTTTAATTACATGTACACACATTCATTTATTTTAATGTGAAATGTAAAAACACCCATAAGGTTGCTCTACTGCATCGCATTGCCTCTGGTACAATGAGGTATTTATGATTGATTGATTTATGAACAGATTTTTACACAGTTCTATGTAGTGCCATGTTCTGTTCAATAATATTTTATTTGTATTACCCTCATGACCAAATTTATTTTAGGACACTTTTCAAATAAAGCAGGTTTAGACTGTACTCCTATTAAAATTATTTACAGAGACCCAACAGTTCCCACCATGAGGAAGCACTTAGCAACACACAGATGTTTGCACTAAGATGCAAGCAGACCCTAGCCACGCAGGCTTGTTACGCAGCTGTTTTGATAACTAACTTACGATTACAAGCAAGGCTTTTATTGCACTTGCTTGATGCAAGTGGGACAACCCCCCATTTGCGTCAGATACAGAAACTAAATAGTGAATCCAGTCAATTTTCATGATAGACTCTGGATCGAATTTACCAATAGATCAATATTATTCTTTTACAGAGACTTGAGCATCAAATTGGCATTAAAAGGAACCGCTCTAAGCTGGTTTAAGTCAACCTAAACCAGCTGCTATTGTTTTCTGTTTTTTAAGTAAGCAGGGAATGTAAACGCATTACAAATAAATGTTTTACATTATTATACTTTTTAAATAAAGTTTAACTGATTACATTATATCATTCATTTTTTTTAAATAGTCACTTTTAGGTGAAAACATTGGGGGTGCCAGAATCTAGTGATTGCTCAGCGTTGTTAACAAAAAAAATAAATAATTTAGTTGAAACAATAATACATTTAAAAATGGTATAGTCAGTAACAACAGCTGTTTTTCTAGGGAGTTGGTTGAGGAACTGCATATTTTGGTATCTGGATGAAGCATTTTCAAATATTACAAAGATTGTAGTTCATAGCAAACAGATCTCTTTGACTCCTGCTTTAGATGGGAATTAAAACTTCCCCCTTCAATAACAAAGACGGCGAAGAGCAAACTTTTTCTACCCACACACACACACACACACACACACACACACACACACACACACACACACACCACACACACACACACACACACACACACACACAGCACACACACACACACACACAGCACCACCAC